AATTTCACTATAATGATTATTTTGTAAAATTGAAATATTTGCATTATGAAGATTTTTTAAATCTTCAATTTGTTTTTTTAATTGTGTTGCAATTTGAGTATGTTGAATTAAATCATTGTATACTTGTATATCAATAGAAATATGAGTATTAATGTTTTGTTGTGAATTTATTTTTTATTAAGAAAATGTTTTTAATAAAAAAATAGTGTTATTTATTTTATCAGTATTGAAATTGGACTTATTCCAATTAATTTAATTGGACCTATTGAATGATTGGATAATTGAATATAGACCAATTGTCCAATTGTCCAATTGATCAAATTTATAATTAAATAGATCTACATATTAGTTATTCAATCGAACTTATTTTTATTTTATTGTTCGAACTTATATAAGTATCAATATTAGAATTTTTGCTTTTTTCATATATAAGATATTTTATTCTTACTTTATATCAAAATTACATATAAAATTGTATATAATACTGTATAAAGGTAAATAATAAATAAGTTTTCCTTTTCTTTTTTTTTTAATTCATTAAAAATGATACGAGAAAAACACAAACTTACTCAATATTTTTTAATTCTAGAAGAAAAATCAAATAAATATAATAACTATGCTGTTTGTCGAGATTGTATCTGGGTTTTAGGACATACTATTGCATTACAAAAAAAATTTACCAATACAAAGTGTGCATGTGCTAAGCATCTTGAAAATTGTCAATATTGGGCCAAACGATATACTCAAGAACAAACTCAAGAAATTATTCAAAAAGCAATGGAACATGGATCAAAAAAATTTAACAAATGGCTTCGAACAACTTATAATAATCAAAATGAAGAAGATTTAACTGATTTAAGTGAAACATCTACTTTACATCAAAACTTTGGTTTACTTGATAATTATACATATCATGAGTTAAAGTTCGATCAAGTTGAAATGTTCGAGAAATTATTATTAGATGCAACAGTAGCATGTGGTTAGTCATTTTGTTGGATTGAAAATTCAACAGTAAAAGAATTATTTAAATGGATCAATCCAATGTTATCTTTACCAAGCTGAAAATAATTAAGTAATCGAATTCTTAAAAAAGCAACAATTGAGATTTCAAAAACTATTTTAGATGATGTAATTAATGATGAACTTGAAGTTATTTTAGCATTCGATGGTTGGAAAAACGTTGCTTAACAAAATTTATTAGGGTCAGTTTTATTTACTTTAACAAATAATATAATTATCTGGAAAATTATAGATATTAGTGGAAAAAGAAGCACTTATAATATTATAATTGAAGAAACAAAAAATTCATTTGAATATCTTGAAGAAAAACAAATTAAAGTTAATGGATTAATTACTGATTCAGTGTCAGAAAATGTTACAACAAAGTAAGTATAATAATAAATTAATTATTTATAATTTATAAATTTATAACAAACTTTATAATATTATAATTTAGAAAAAAATTATATCTTCAATTTCGAGAAAAACTTTATTTACCATGCTTTGCACATCAATTAAATTTATGCATTGGCAATATATTTAAAGAATCATCAAATTTAAATAAAATTGCTGAAAAAGCAATAAATTTAATTTCTTATTTCCGATGATCAAAAGTATGGCTTGGACGTCTTCAAAGTGAACAAATTATAGCATATAAAATGCATATTGTATTAATTACTCCAGCAGCTACTCGATAGAATTCATATTTTTATTGTTTTGCTAGTTTATTAAAAACAAAAGGTGCATTACGGATATGTATAATATATTATTTTTTTATAATATTATAATTTTTATTTTATTTAATTTATTTTTAATTTATTTATAGAATCTTGTAACTAAAATTAATGAGCATATAATTTCCAATAGTTATGATTTTCCCAAAGAATATTTGAAATATATATTAAATAATAATTGGTGGAAACAAGTTAAAGAAATTGAAATTCTTTTAATTCCTTATTGCGCAACACTTAACAAAATTCAACGACATAATGCACAATTACATGAGATACTTTATGGATTTGGAAATATAATTATAATGCTTAAAAATTTAGATGATTTTAATTTAGCAACAATTGTTCTTAAAAAAATTGAACGACGATGGAAAGAATGGGAACAACCTCTTTTATTATTAGCATTTTTACTTTATCCAAGTTATCGTAATTCTAAATTTAATCCCAAAATATCTAATTTATTATTTCCACACTTAGCAAAATGGATTTTATATTATTATTATGCATGGTTTCGTGAAGAACCACAAGTTTTATTAATTGAACTTGAAGATTACCATTCAAAAAAATACCCTTATATAGAATTAATATTCAAACAATTTAAAAACAATATTTTAGATTATTGGAATTTTACCAAATAATATTCAAAAGAATTATATCGTATTGCACAACGTATTTTTTCAATTACAGTATCAACTGCATCATTAGAATGACTTTTTTCAACAATGGGATGGTATCATTCAAAATGACGAAATAAATAAAAGGTATTATTATTATATTTAATTATTATTTTTTAGATGGAAAAAGTCTTGGGTTTGACTTAAATTTGTACAAGTATACAATGTAAACAACAACTTCATGATTTGGATAATTGTGCACAACAATATAAGCAAACAGTATCACACTTTTCAACTATTGATGAATTAAACAATATGGAATTCGAGATTCAGCAAAATAATTTTATTTTATCGGATGATGATACAACAACAGATATCAAAAATTCTTCAAATAATAAATCTATACAATCAGTAACTTCCGTAATTGAATGGAAAAATTTAATATCACAATGGGTAGATATGTTAGAAGACGAAATACAAGATCAAGAAGAAGAAATTATAAAATTAGTTAATAATTTTGATATTTCACTAGATAATATTAATCAAATACAACATCCAGCTATTGATATAGAAGCGAAATGGGTTTTACAGGATATTTTTATAAATACATTAGAGACTCTATATTATTTAGATGATTTTATTACTGGTAAAAATTAATATACTTTATAATTATACGCTATATGTATCAAATAAATAAATAAAATCTTTTGAAATTGGATTAAGTCCAATCGTCCAATTAATTAAATGGAATTATTAATATTAGTACAATTAGTCCAATATTCAATTAGTTCAATTGTTTAATATGTCCATTTGCCATCACTGTATTTTATTGACAAAATAATTTTAAGTGAATCAGCTTTGCTGACTTTTAAAAAAAGTGGATCAAAAAAAAAAAATCAAAACATTG